CCTTTAAGAAACAGAGGGTTGAAGCCGTGAGGGGCTTTCGCAGGCCCCGTCGGTCTGCGTCTTGCGCACCACCCCATACCACGGAGATGTCCACAAAGCCCGCGCACCATGCAAGACACCGCCCTGCACGCTCTGCTCCACACGGCAAGCTCCAGACTCACTTCCTGAAAGAGAGTTCTGGGTTCTCCCGCAATAGTGCTGGACCCCTTAGGTTGTCAAGTGTCGCTTTTATCCCAGAAGCATAGGATGGTTCCTACGGGAAATCACCACGGACTGTTAGGGGCCTTAGCAAGTGTTGCTTAGAAAAGGCTGGGGTCCAAAGGCATGTCTGGGGACACCCGTGTCCATTGGGTTAAGAGTTGCTGTTACCCCACAGGCCACAGGAGGAACCTCCATAACGTCCCCTGAGTTGCCCCCCTGGACTCCCCTGCCTGCTCTTGTGACCCCTGGCTGTGCTGCGGTTCCCACCTTGGGTTTGTCCACCTCTGGTTTTCTCGCTCTTACCTCTCTGTCCCCTTGGTCACCCATGCTCAGTCACTGATTTGATTCAGTGGCCCACCCTGCTTTTCCAACTCCCCTTCTGACGACACGTAATGCTCCTGGCATGAACTCTTGGGCCTGATCCCCACTGTTTGTCAACTCCTGCCCCCGCCTTTCCCATCCAACACCCCCTGCACCCCCAGCACTTTCCTGATTTAGTTTCTGCCAGTTTTCATCGTGTGAGGCCTGGGCTGGAGCTATTTGGAGAAGCTGTGAGGGCGGACCACAGGCTTGGTGCTGTCCGTTCTCCTCCTGCACCCAACGCCCTCGCCCCTGTTCTCACCACACTTGAGACAAAATACAGACAGTACAGGGGTGCCTGAGTGGCTCAGTCAGTTAAGCATCTGCCTTCCGCTCAGGTCATGACCCCAGGGTCCTGGGATCGAGTCCCTCATCCGGCTCCCTGCTCAGCAGGGAGCCTGCTTCTCCCTCTCCCTCTGCCGCTCCCCCTGCTTGTGCTCTCTCTCTCTCTCTCTCTCTGAGACAAATAAATAAGTAAAATCTTAAAAAAAAAAAACCAAACAGACTGTATGTGCACATGTGCCATATGAAGGATGGGCAGGGGTGTTTATTGTGGCATCTCTGAAAACGGAAGAGAAACAACCGAAATCTCTGTCAATAGGAATAGGTTATGATACAGCCAAATAATAGGGGGAAAAAACAACTCTCTGTATATAGACAGGAAATAATCTTGAAAACCAATTTTTAAGTGAAAAAAGCAAGAGACAGAACATATATAGATTTTGCTACCTTTTGTGTTAAAAAAAGAAAACAGGAAATGATATTTATATACGCATGGAGTTTCTCTGGAAGGCAACAGAAACAACGGCTACCTCTGGGGAGGGAACAGTAGTAACTGGGGGATGTGGTGTAGTGACATTTCCTTTCTGACCTTAGTACCATGTGTCTAGTACCAATTCAAAAATTCTAATTAAAAACAAGATAAACACCATATGTGTGGAAATGTGGAAATAGATGGGGCCTTGGGGATCACCCCTTAGTTGTACAAATTAGGACATTAAGTCACAGGGGTAAATAATCTGTTCAAATTCCCGCTACTATGAAGTGACAGAGCTGTGACTAGAACCTTCGCTGTCATTTGGTGCTTATGCTCTAGGGAATGTGGCTTCCAAATCATATGTAGCAGAACTTATAAATGACAGGGTTGTACCCCAGGACAAGACATTCGAGACTCAGGTTCTTCATCTGTAAAATGTGCACAATAAGGTTGTTGTTGTTGTGAAGATGAAAGTAGGTAGTGCCTGTTATCCTAGCTAGTTCCTAGCATACGAAGCATCTGATAAATGCCAGTTACTGTTATTTCTTATTTTTGGCTATGATGGTGTTGGATGGGGCAGAGAGGGCTGGGAAGAAGGTTATCATAGAAGCATCTGGAGATGAAGGCTTGTAGGGTAAAGAAAAATAAAATAGAGAGGGAGAGAGACCAACCCCTTGGTTCTTATTTATTTAGGTAGTCACTAGAGATTCTGAGAGGGTAAATGATGCTTAATGTGGAAAATGTATGTTAGGGTGTATGTGAGAGGGATATGGGGAGAGAAATTCCAGCCCTTTTCACTGCAAATTGTCACTAAAGGCCACCTGTGACCAGCACTGCCCCTTATGCTAAAAGATGAATGTACAACCCGGGACCATCTGGTGTGCTTCTTTCCATTTCTCTTTCATTCCTGATTATCCAAACGCCCTTGTTATTCCTGCTACCTTATTTCCTTTCCTATTTTCTCTTCTTCTGGGGCCATGGGTCAAACGGTGACCCAAAGCCTTCCTTGGAGGGGTGCCTGGTTGAGCATCTGACTCTTGGTTTTGGCTCAGGTCATGATCTCAGGGTTGTGGGATCAAGCCCTGCAATGGGCTCTGTGCTCAGCGGTGCATCTGCTTGACATTCTCTTTCTTTCCCTCTGCCCCTCCTCCTGCTTGTGCTCTCTCTCTCTCTTTTCTTGCTCTCTCTAAAACAAATTAATTTTAAAAATAAAATAAATAAAACTTAAAAAAAAAAAAGCCTTCCTTGGAGAGGCGCCGAACACATCCTGCTCTTCTGGGCAGCTTTGCTCACAGCACATCTGGGCTGAGGAGCTTAGCAGGAGACCCACAAAGCCAAGGCTTCTGGGACCCATCCCCCTGCCCTTCCCTTTCATGCCAGAAAGCCACCTCCTTATAGGCAGAGGGGCAAGGACATGGGGTTCCCTCTCTTGTTCACCACTTGATGATTGGTAATCATATTCCGGTCTAATTGGAAGGAAAATACCGTGTGAGGTTCAAAGCTCAGGTTCAGCGACTGGCCCTCTTGGGTTCAAATCCTCCTCCATGATTGCTCTGTGACTATGGGCAAGTTGTGGAACCTCTTTGCCCTAGTTTCCATCTGGGAAAATGGTAAGGACAAAATGAGATAATCTGGGTAAAAGGCAGAGGCTTAGTCAATTCTCTATAAAGGTTAGCCTGACATAGTGGCGGCAGCCTCAGCTGTAGTAGAAGTAAGCAAAAGAGATAAAAGGCAAGTCTGGGGATTCGAGGAAGGTCTGTAAGCACTGACCTCAAGGAACAGGGTCAGTACCACCAATTGCACCTGCATATGTGCCACTCACCCCCACCCCCTGTAAATGTCTCATCGTCACCAGCTGGATTATCAGTGAAGAATGCTATTTGGTCTCTGCAAGCAATGTGACTCTAATGAGGAGATTGTTCTAGTGGACAAATATCTTTTCCCGGTTCAGGGTGATACATGATGCATCAAAGCTTTTAACATATGCTATTATTATTAACTTATTACCTTATTTCCAAGACGTAAATATAAGACAAAGCTGTTTAACCCAGACAGAAGTCAATAAATAGTAGATATTTTTTAAAAAAATCCTGCTTTTGGCATAAACACGTGAGGAATACCAGTTAGTTAGACTCTGCAGTTTATAATTGATTCTGATTGTTTGGGGTGGCATTTACCAATGTGATTATCAAGTGGATTCCCTGGTCTTGGAGGAAACTGAAACGTTCATCTGTATAACCAAAAAAAAAAAAATAGACTGATCAAACAAATATTTTTATATATTAAATCAGAGGAATCCCTTGTCATTCAGTTGCGCAGATGGATAGGGTGTGGGATGGGCCCTGCAGGGGCCTGCTCCGGCATTCCAAATGGTGACCTAACCTCTGGTTATAGAGCACGGCTTGAAGCAGCTGACTTTTCTGTTTGCACAGCACCTTGCACTTTAGAAAGAACTTTCCCATACGTCATCTTATGTATTGGGTAAGTTTTCTAAGGCCTAAACTCATATGCTCTCTTCCTCGGTGGGCCCCATTTGAACGATAGACAATGTTATACTATGGTAGGATGAAAACCTTCGGCTTACCTTACTGTGGTCGCTACATAGCTAAGGTGAGGAGAGATTTTTCAGATAATCATCAGGCTCATAGTCCTTCCCTGCCCTGGGATGGGCCCCAGGATGGTTTTCCAACACAATCTGAAATTCAAACAGAATAAACTGGTTTATAGCTTCTTAATAGGGAAAGTTCTAAAGATGCTTTTTATTAAATACATTTAAATATTGGTGCAGTTTCCTTCGTCTCTAAGGGAACTTCCTCTTTGAGAATGTCGCCTTACAAATGAAATCCGCACTGTGTTTTTATTTAGAACCCAGGAAGATTTCTGTCAGATAATCTCGGAGAGACTCAGTTCTCTGCAGAATGTGAGAACTGACACTGAAATCTAATCAGTCACCCCAGTTTCCAAAAATTCTTCCACACCGATAGGTAACCTTTTATTAAAAATTAGGACAGTGCGGGGCGCCTGGGTGGCTCAGTCGGTTAAGCGTCGGACTCTTGGACTCTTGGTTTGGGCTCAGGTCATGATCTCAGGGTCGTGGGATGGAGCCCCATGTTGGGCTCTGTGATCAGCGGGGAGCCTGCTTCAGATTCTCTCTCTCCCTCTGCCCCTCCCCCTCGGCTCCTGCCCTCACTCACACAAAGGCACACGCAATCTCTCTTTCTCAAATAAATAAATAAATAAAATCTTAAAAAAAATTGGGACAGTGTGCATTCCTTTATACCCAAGTGTTGTGAGGAAAGTAGTTAACTTCTAGTAGATGTGAATTTAGATTTATAGCATAAAAATAGCATCATACCCTATAGGAGATGTTCTGGAATATCACCCTCTTGACACAACAAAGCTTCTCAGTGCCCTTCGCGTAAGTGTGTCTAACGTATCTGGTCAAGGCTAAATTACCTGCATTTGTGGGAGGTTTCTCTCTGGGCTCTGATTCCATGTTCAATATACTCCCAGCTCGAGCTCCATTTACGCTAAATCAACACTCTGTCACACTGAACTGGAAGACCAAACGCAGTGGATCAAGTTTACCACTGGATGCATGTAGGATATATTTAAAACTCATTGAAAACAACATAGTAGCTTTGTCTCCATGGCCCTCTCAATTTTGTGTGTGTCCCTACAGATTTCTCTGAGGAAACAGAACAGTCAGCAGAAATGCCCCTGGAAGAGGAAAACAGAGATGAAGCTTTTCATATTCAAACTGCATTTGTTGCCGTGACCACGGGAGCATTCATGGCAAATTCAAGTTTTGGCGACATTGATGAGGATGAAAATCAGTTGGAGTTTGTATTAATGGTGTTGATCCCACTGGTTTTATTTGCTCTCTTATTTTTATCAGTGATAATCCTTGTAATACGCTATAAAAGAAAAAGGACCAAACAAGGTAAATATTTTGTATGTTCCCAATTTCCAGACAATCGCTTCATGTGTTAATGAACAATCAGTAAAACAAAATATTTTTTGCTTCTTCTACACAGAGCCTTCCAGCCAAGGATCTCAGAGTGCCTTACAGACGTGTGAGTATGATCCTAATGCCTGTCTGGAGTGGGTGATGGGGGAGGGAAAAGAAGGGAGAGGTTTTAAAGTTGAGCAACCAGGACTACATAAACTAGTAAATGATGAACATCCCCTTATTTTTCAAAAAGAGAACGGCTTCGGCCTAAAATGAGATTTAAAACACACAGCTCCCCTCTCTGTACCTAATCCAGAGGAGGGCCTTGTCTAATATCGGCCAAGAGGTCCATGCAACATTCCCTAAATTGGAGGAAACGTTCAAAAGGGCAAAGCGGTGGGTCAGTTTGGGGTTGGGGATGGGAAGGCTGAGACCTTGGGCTCGTCTCCACCGGAAGAGGATTCTTCTGCCGTATATTCTGTATATTATATAATATATTCTGTATATTTCCGTCGAAGATACCGTTTTCTCCTCCCATGCCCGATTCGATTGTGAAAAAGCCTGAGTAAAGCATTGTTCTTATTCTCGTTAAAGCTATGCTAACTTTTGTATGAAATTCCTAGTTGGCTGAAGATTACCAGCATCAAGCTGAAACCGATCTGATAGAGAATTCCCTAGGTCAGAGATACCTCTGTGGGTATTCAGCTCCAAATCTAGGAGCAACAAATACTAGGTGTCAGGGTGCTTCTAAGTCCAAAACAGACTTGAGGACTTTTGGCTTGTGCTGGTAAAAATGACTCTAATTAGACTTTTTAAAGTTGAAGCCTTTAGTTATTCCAAAAATCACTCAAGGGATGGGACTATCTCTAATGAGCTACATATTGATACGTGCATACAAAAACTCACTGTATATCCCTCACACTCACTAACAGGGCACCTCTGGCTTTGCGATCATGCCCTTGGCCTGCAGGCCTGGCTCCCTCTCCTTGTATCAGGAGAGCCTTTAAGCTCTCGGCAGGAGCTATAAATGGTCATTTTCCATTATGCCAGCAGGTATGGTAAAAGTGAGCTAGGGAAGAAGCACTGATGTGCGTTACCTTTCTTGGCAGGAGCCAATATAATAGATTCCAAGGGAGTCGAAAAAAACCACATGTTTTTCCACTGCTTGAAATTTCAGGGTGACCTAGTAACTGGTCACATGGGAACTCCTTTGTAAGCTAAAGAAAAAGATAAAGCAAACGGAGATGCCTGGACCCCATTTTTTTAACCTCAGGGACAGTAAGAATTTCCTGCCTAAACCATAGCCCTGCAGCCAGTCTTACCTAATGATATTATGGGATTTGGGGGGGGGGGATGTTGGGGGTGTCTGGTCAAATGTGCCTGCTTTCAAGGCTCTAAATACAGGAAGGGATTTTTCATGGAACTTCGTTGTGAGCATCTCCAAAGTCAAAAGCCATTCACCATCAAGAACTGGCCTCCTTCTCAGAGGACTCATGCATCGTGCTGGAGCCACACTCCCAAGTATTTGCTATTCCCGGAGCCTGGCTTATACACACGTTCATGATGCTTACATGCCTGGTTGACACTACTCTTCTGTTTGGGATTTCCTTCTTGTCTGCTTGGCAAACTGCCCCTCCATTCTTCCATGCCCAGTTCTGAAGTTTTTATGAAGCCTTGAGTAATCACTCCTTGGGCAAAATGAATCACCACCTCTTCTGTGTTCTCACTTACTGCGCACAGCATTTACGTTGCGTAAGTTGGTGACTTGTCTTTTTTCTTTTTTTAGTCTCTCTTACTAGGTTATGTTCTCTTTAAGGTCTGAGAGAACCAAGAACTTGTCTTATTTATCTTGTTTAATGGTGTGATGTGGGGGTTAGAGTATGGGCTCCGGAACCGCACTGCCTGGTTGGCTTTTTTCCCTAGCTCTACGACTTCTCTGATTCAGTTTCCTCATCTGTGAAATGGGCAAATCCAACACCTGGCTTACAGAGCCTCGGTGAGAAGGAAATGGATTCATCTATGTAAACCACTTTGGAAAAAGAGTAGCTGGCATATTGTGTTAGCTGCTGCTTCTTATTATTATTGCCCCTTTGACCTGACACGGTGTTATATTAGCTGCTCAATACATGTGGTTGAATGAACGAGTTAATGAAACAGCGTTAGTACTTTTTTAAAAGAACACTTACCTATTCTCAGAGATAAAAAACAAATTCGAAACTTATTCTTAATACAAACTGGCACATTCTTTTTGTTTTAAAATATGCCTCACTTTTAAGAGAAACAACACAGAGATCTTAAATTTTCAAAACAATTGCTTATCACAAGTTTTGATAGAGAGAGCTTAATTTGAATATTTCCTTTAATATAGATACAGATGGTTAACTGCTTAACACATGAATATCTCTTCAGGCAAACTAAATGCTGAAAAGTTAAGCACTACTGTCTGCCAAAGTCCACCCATTCATATTTAACATTATAACGCAGATCAATAAAAGGAGAGGGGCGCCTGGGTGGCGCAGCGGGTTAAGCGTTGGACTCTTGATTTTTGACTCAGGTCATGCTCTTAGGGTTGTGAGATCGAGCCCCACATCAGGCTCCATGCTCAGCGGGGAGTCTGCTTAAGATTATCTCTCCCTCTCCGTCTGTGTGCCCTCCCCCCAGCTCTCTAAAAAATAAATAAATCAGTCTTAAAAAAATAAAGGAGACTGTTCAAATTAACAAAATTTGATTTCAGTATTTTTTTCCAGGAAAAATAAAACTGTCACACTGGGTCAGACCAGCGTTTTGCTTGGAAAGCATCCAAAACGATGTTTTGTGGGAGGGCATGGATGATGTCGCCTCAGAAAGTTAGAAATAGACACGTTGGTTCTCCCCCCACGTGAATAGCGCCTGGTGTGTTCTTCTCCAGCAGGAAGTAAACCTGCACATTTGATGACTGGGGAGGACCCGGCCAACACCTTTAGAAAGAGCCCTTCTTCTGACCGGCAATCACGTTTTTTTTTCCTTTGGCCTTGTCCATTTTCAAGTCCAGGAGAAGGGAAGTGCTGGGCGGTAATTTGCTGTTCAATTGCCCTTCTTCCTAGATCTCCAGGAGTTACATTTGTAGCTGTTCTTATTTAACATTTATTAAGGGACTCGATGGGCTGTGTCTCTGTGTTAGCTGCAGGCATCCCTTTAAACAGGCTGTGGCGACGTGAAGCCTGGCTCGGCTCAGAACATCTCCAGAAAGACTCTCTCTTGCTCAGGGTTCCGCATGGAAAAGAAAAGCTAAGCCAGCTGGTCCCCTGTGGGGCTCCGCGCCGCCCCCCCCCCCCCCCCCCCCCACGCAGCCCAGCGGTCCCACCACCCACCACCCCACCACCAGAGGTGCACAGAGGAGAGTAGCTGACAGCGGGGGTACGGGCGTGCTAAGTGGGTGTAACTGGAGACTGGAGGCAGAGGACAAAGTGGGGAGGAGGGTATGACATGGAAGGGCTGTAGGAGGGAAAATGGAATCAAGGGCAGGTGCGGGCTTGTGTAAGAGGTACATTTGCCCTCCAGTTTCGGAGGGAGTAGATGGCTATTAATAAAGAGATAGAGGCCAGGTGGAGAGGTGCGGGCAGGGCCTGATTGCTGGGGACATGTAATTGGTCTCCCCCCTGGCTTAATGCTCAGCTCTGGTGAGCTCTCCCAGATGTTTTTCTGTTGCCATGGTGGCTGGGCCGGGGGTAATGGTCTCAGAGCAGGAGAGACGAGGCCACAGAAGGCTTTTTGCTCTGTTTGAATACTGATTACAGGAGCTTCGCATTTGGTGCATCTGGAGCACTTTTGTAATGGGTTTTTAAACTTTTCCATCATCTGCATGCAGGGTTAGCTTTTGCTCTCCACAAAGCCTGCGGGCACTCAAATTATAAAGATAAATCCATGCCTTCTACGGTGGGGCTGTGGGGCCACTTGCTCTCTGAGAAATTAGTGTGGGTGTGTGTGTGTGGGGGGGGGGTTACTAAGCAGGAAAAGAGGGGGAGGAAAAGGGGGGGAAGTGACAAAATAGGGGGATCTTTATGAGTCACCTGTAGGGGAGGTTCAATGTGCGGGGACTTTATTTATAGTAAAACCCCTTAAGGAAATAGAATGTCAATTTGAGATTAAAATTATATAAAAATTATAAAATGAATATACTCCCCTTTCCCCAGTCCAAGTGTCTGCACCTGCAGGGAGGATCAGGCACCTGCAGGGAGCTTCAGATTCCTACCAGGGGCCAGAAAGACATAACCCAGTGGCCCTGGGAGGTAGGCAGTAATGGCATGAAACTTCCATCTGTGCCTAGCTTTCCTGGATCAGCAAGGCCGTGAAAGCTTGCCAACCCTCAGGAAATGACAACGGCTCCCAGCTTCCAGGAGCTCAGTTCCCGGTGCCTGCTGGCTGTGTTTCCTTGATGGGGACCCGCATTTCTGCAGGCCTGGTGAAAAGAGACTTCTGATTGCCAAGGATCGGGAACATCTGACTATTCGGTGGACCCCTGTAAAGTGGTTTGCTTCTTGATGGTTTTCACATGGTAGAGGGTGCTGGGGGCCTATGCTCTCCACTCACATGACATGACTGCCTCATTTCTCTGGATGCATTGGTTCCCCTGCCAAACAAAACAGAGCTGGAGCTGGGGCAATGCGCCCTGATTCTTGCCACATGTTCATCTGGAGTCTGATGGGCATTTGACAGTCTGTTACCTGGTCCTCACCTCAACCACAGCAACATAGAGCGGGTTTGCTCAGAGCTTCGATTTTACGATATTACGAAGTCCAAAACCGGGTGTGAATTTAATCCGCGTTGGACCATCCAGATTAAGACCTACTCATTTATTCAATACAGATTTACTGGGTGTTTGCCAGGTACTGTGCTAGCTGGATGGGAGGTGAGGGGACATCAGGGCGAACAAAACAGGCATGATGTCTGTCCTTTTGGAACTATGTTTTAGCGGGAGAGACAGACAAAATTAAGCAGATGGATTGATCAGTGACAAATTGTGGCAAATGCTGTGAAGGACCAAGAAAGGTGCTGGGCTGGGGAACAACTGGAAAGGTGGGCCCTACTTCAGATGTAGAGTGCTCCTTGAGGAGAGACTATAAACTGAGACCAGAAGGAAGTGAGGAGTCCAGCCAAGCAAGCAGCAGGGGTGAGGATAGAGTTCTAAGGGGAGCCCTTGATGGAATATACCACGACCTGTTCCGGGACAAAGAGACAGTCCCAGTGTTGGGCTTGATGTGTCACGGGAGATGCAACAGTGATGTTTTGAACTGGGACATTTTGGGTAGGGGGTCAACGAACCATCCCTCTTGTCTGGCTCCTCCTTGCCTTCCCTCACCACTGTTTTCTTCCACATATGGATTAAAAGAATAAAAAGGGATAAACTTCTGATTTGAGGTAAATACTCTCAGAGGACCATCTTATCTCTAAAAAAAAAACCAAACAGATTTCATGTGGATTAGGACCTCGTTTCAATATGGCACATGTTTGACTCAGAGGTTAATTATTGCTCCCTTAAAAATGCGATTTGAAGTCTTCTCTTGTGTTTGTAAAGGAGATTTCAGCTGTTGTTGAAATAAAAAGTTGTATGGACAGTGAAAGCTAACATGGCCTTTATTTTTTTTTTCTCTTTAGGTGAACTGGGAAGTGAAAACATCAAAGTGTAAGTCCCCACTACCTCTGACCCAGCTCAGTGAGGACAAGGGTATCAGGGAGAGGAGCAGATTAGAAAGCCATCTGCTTTTTATGAGTTTTTGTTCTGACACCCTTCAGGGACCCTTGCGGGGCCTCTTGCTTCCTGGGCCCTGGGAGAGGGCCCTGAGCAGCCTATGGGGATGCACGCTCATCCCCCAACCCCAATTCAGTGGGGGATCTGGGTAAAGAACAGGGTCCTCTTCAGAAAAAACTAAATCTTTTTGACTACTACCAGTTCCAAATGCATTGTAGTTCAATATTCTGACACTGGGTGTACTTCAAGGACATTGGTTTGTTCATTCTTGTTAACATTTTATCACCGGGAAAGATATGTTCCCTGGTATTAAAGGAGGAGAGCCCTGGTAGAAGCCTGAAGTTCATGTGGCAGAACCATGGTGGGGTGGGAGGGAGAAAAGGAATGGAGGGGGAGAAGAAGGAAGGGTGGTGCAGGGAGGGGGGGGAGGGAGGAGAAAGAGGGGAGAGATGGGGAGAGGGAGGGAGGGAAGTGGCGGGGGGAGAGGACAAGGTTCCACCAGAAGAGTGTTCTGGGGCCCGGTCACCACCCTCGCCCCCACTTCCCCCTAGCAACCTTGCTTGTTTAAACACTTTGCTCACTTCCTCTCCACGGTGTCACGCCCATACTGTGGTTCAGAGCTGGTGGTCCTCCTCCCCAACCCCATTTACATTGACCAGGGGCTTCTTTCCCGTAACTGTGGGCTCTGCGCCCTGCTAAGTGAGTGCGGTGGGTTTCTGAAAGCAAGGGCTCTATTTCTCCATGACAGAAGAGCCTGGGAATTGGAAGGAGAGGTGAGGAAAGCAACCTGTTCACGGGGGCCTCTTGACCTGGGGCCCAGATCAGAAACCTCAAAGAAAGGGAAGTGAAATTAAGCAAGGCTAAAATGCTCAACAGGGCAACTCCCCGGAGGATCCTCACCGTGGAAGCCTGTTGGCTCAACGTTGTGCCTTCTGGGGGGCAGGCAGTGTCTCCGGGTCTCCCTTTGAGCTGCGTGCCCTCCATCTTTGGATCAGCGATAGAGGAAGGTTTATTTTCGTTCTAGCCTTTCCTCCATTTAGAGTTTGGTACATGTGAATAGGGCAACCCCCCCCCCCCATCTGCCCTGGAGTGTCACACACGACCTCAAGTTCACCTTTCTCCCACTCAGCATTCCAGGCTCTCCCAAAAGGAAACTCTGTCCACCACACTTCTTTTTGTTTTAACGTGGTTTTTGCTCTCTCTCTAGCCCCATTTTTGAGGAAGACACGCCCTCTGTTATGGAAATCGAAATGGAAGAGCTTGACAAGTGGATGAACAGCATGAATAGGAATGGTACGGTCACCTAAAGTTCTTTTTCTGTCTTCTCTAGTATGAGAAGACTGTCAGAGTTTCAGAAATACCCCGTAAATCCTGGAGTGTGTCAGGGTGAGCCCAAGCCACATTAGATTTGGAGCATGCAAACGGTGAACCTGGGTCTGACCATCGTTAAAGACTCCGTTTGATTAGGCCATCACTTGGTGCCCTTGGTTTTTACTGTTGTACAAGCTTTTCAAATGGCCTCTTTAAAGAAGCCGATGGTCTTTTTTCAAACAAGGAACAGGTCCAAATTATCTGGAAAAAGTTAGCATCTGGCGTTACCTTATATATGGTAGAATTTAGAGATCTACGATTTTGATCTGTATATGGATATAAAACTTTACCACATATAGTTTACACAGATCTGTGCTGTCCAGTACAACAAACGCTAGCCACATGTGGCTATTTAAATTAAAAATTTAAAAAAATGAAATAAAGTTAAAAATTTTGTTCGTCAGTCACTCTAGCCACATTTTGAGTGCTCAGTAGCCACTTGCGGCTCATAACTACTATATTATACAGTACAAGTTTAGAACATTTCCATCATATAGAAACTTCTATGGGACAACACTAATATAGTAGTATTATAGATATGCTCATGAACTTGTTGATATCTGGCAGTAATTGTATGTGTTCTGTACTTTTCGTTGAATCAATGTTCGGATTTAAAAATGATGGTAGCTGTTTTTTTCCTTTTTAAAGTTCCGTTTAAAAAGTCAATAAATTATTTTCACGCTCGGATTAAATTAATAAGATCCAATATTTATATTATCATATCATTCGTATTTTTCACATTCGTCTTTAAAAAATACTCCGGAGTCTGTCAGATTCAACAATAGTGAAGTCCAAATCCAGAGACCTGTTATTAGAATTATTGTACCAGAGGCTTATCAACATAAGCTTTCCAAAAGATTAGAACCATTCAATGAACTTGTATAATTTCCAACAGAACAGTTTTTCATAGCCCAATATGGAGGAAAGAATGGCTCTGTAGAGCATTTAAGGATGGGGGCAGGTCACTGAGATAATCCTGAAGGTAGTTTCATTTTGTTATTTTTAGTTTATAAAATATACCTACATAATAGAATTTGGAAAATGCAAAAAAAAAAAAGTAGAAAGAAGAAAAGAATATACCACCCAAAGATAACCTCTCTTAATCATTTGCCATATTTCCTTTTGTGCCTGGGACAATTGTAATACAAAATCAGGATCCTGTTACACTCACTAAACCAGAAACCTAGAAAAAGGCCTTTCTTTTTAACACCCACAGCAAAGAGTTATTTTGACACATACGTGATGGAGCTGATGGATTTTGTTTTTCCTTAAAAATAACTGGGGCATAATAGGAGGGAACTCTGACGACTTTAAGAAGGTTAGTTGTTCCTCACTTTACCTGCTGCTTTTTGATTGGGCATCGTGACTGAAATCATTCTGCAGGCACATCAGGACCTCCGGTAAAGCAATTTTATTCCAGTGTCTAACCTGAAACATGCAGATTCTAGCTTTTGGAGCAACGGTGGGGTTCTTCGGGGACTGAATAACCAAGCAGGGAGGCATTGTGCCCTTTCCAACAGGGCCAGGGCCATGCTGAAGTCTTGTATCTGCGCTACTGATGCTTTTTCCATTTCAAGAGCCTTGCCATCATTAATCTTTTAACCTCGGGAACTCCCTAGTGAGGCCATTTCTGCACAAGTAACCATACAGATCAGGGAAATGTGATGCTCAAATGTAAGAGTTTTGCGGATAGAAAATAGAATTTTGGTGACTAAAAATGAGTTTGCTTTTTTTCTGTCCTAGCTGACTGTGAATGTTTACCTACTTTAAAGGAAGAAAAGGAATCAAACCACAACCCAAGGTACTTCTAGTTTCCACTATTGTTGATAGGTGTGTGGGGGAGGGGAGAGGAGACCACAGTAGAGCCCTTTTGCTTACCGTCTCTGTGCCTGTAAATTTTATGGGACAATTCACATGGGTGTATGTGTGTGTCATGTGGAGAAAAGAAAGTGTGAGTTATGGCAAAGAGGAAAATGTAAAGTAAATATCCTAGTGACTCCATCTTTAGAAGTAAATTGGTATTGGCATTTTCTTGCCCTTCTAAAGAGACACTGTTGTGTCGGCTTCCGTTTTAGTCCTAAAACTGTGATTATAACAAACTAGAGGTTTGTTTAGCTTGGATGGAGAGATGTTTGGTAAGGAAAACAGATGGAAGTGGCCATCTTAAAGGGGATAACTGTAAATAAGTGAGCAAAATGAACATATTAAAAAACAAAACAAAACAAAACAAAACAAAACAAAACAAAACCCCACCTGGATTGGATTGTTTGTTATAGGAGAGAAATTAAGTGAGAATTTGATAAACATATTCCATCCTACCACTAGGTGGCTCTGCCTGATAGAAGATTTTGGTGTCTAGGGCTTGGCGTTGTTCAGCACACCGTAATCTTGTTTAAATGTTGTTCTCTTTTGTGAGGATGGAAATGACCATGTTTGGGGTGTTTTTGATCAGAGAATTGTTTGGTCAGGACGCGAGAAGTGTCACAGGAGAAAGGATTGATGATGCAGCAGCTTGGGTACTTGTCCCACACGGCAGCACTGTGATTTGGGGGGTGCCAAGTTGTTGGTAGGGGTGACTCAGAGGGGATCGGGGAGCAGAGAACGTGACTGAGCCTGTGACCGAGACTTTACACTTCTGTGGGAATAAATAGAAGAAACTTTCAGAGCAGGATAAACACCACCCGTCTTTTCTCCCTCCATGTTAACCAAAGTTCCTTTGCCAGTCATCTTAAATGTTTCCAGAACGCAGTCACTTGTCACTGGGCAGTCCCTGAGGCTGGAGCATCACAGGGGAAGACTGATAGTCGATAGTGATTGGGCAGTCAGATGTTTGTCTTCTGAACCCTTATTCTGCACCTTTCCCTCAACCTCCTCTGAGAGGTGGTCACCCCACATCTCACACATCAGGCCTCCACAGTCTTACTGAGGCAATCCTCAGCTTTGACGTGGAAATTCACTTCGTATTGAAGGTTTCAGTCATTATTATCTCTCCAGGTATCTGCATGTTAAAAATTCATCACTGGCTCAGAAAAGATTCTATACTATTTAAATGAGATGCCAGATATTAACAAGCAGACAAAAGAAGAAAATGTTAGGGGGAGTATCACAAAGGAAATGACAAAGGAGTATTCTCTCCACATTTTAATCTTACCTAAAATTGAGTCATTGTGTATGTTCAGTGTGGGGCTCACCCACATCACCACCGAAACCCTATAAATGTCTTGTTAGCGTATCTCTGACCGGCACCCTCAACTGATGTGAAACATGGTGGTTTTTATGTACCTGCCTCTTGATCTTTGAAATTATTGGCAACATAGAAGAAACTGAATGTTAGAGGATTGTATGGTTGTGAAAGCGTGTTAGAGATCACATTGCTGAAATATTGGAAGGTTGGTCTTGGTAAATAAGCTTGAGCTCACTTCTGCCTGTGAGACAAAAAGGCTTAACCTATTTGGAGGGCTGCTTTATGCTAAACTATTGCTTTTAAGGTGCATGTCTACATTCCTCCGTTGGTCCAAAACAATCTGGCTTCAGTTCGTTCCCACTCAGTGAAGCCAGCACCAGCGTATGGAACCAACAGTGGCAAGTCCCAAGGCTTTGGTACTAAAGGGACTTTCTGATTACTCAAAGAGCAGTACAAGATTGTAAAGCAAATCTAATTTTTAGTCACTAAAAACTCAGAAAGATACAAAGCACTTGGAACAAAGCCTGCCACAGAATGAACTCTCAAGAAGTATTGGTATTATGATTATTTTTAAAGGTTTTATTTATTTATTTGTCAGAGAGAAAGAGAGAGAGAGAGAGAGAGAGCACGAGCAGGAGGAATGGCAGAGATGGAAGCAGGCTCCCCGCTGAGCAGGAGCCTGGCATGGGACTCGATCCCAGGACCCTGAGATCATGACCTGAGCCCAAGGCAGACACTTAACCCACTGAGCCACCCAGACATCCCTGGTATTATTATTATTAACTTAAAATTGATATACATAAATTCACTGCCTTTTGGGCTAAGGAACCCATGTCCAAGGGCCCAGGCACATTCATATTAGTGGTTGGGGCATTAAAAAAAAAAAAAAGCTTTCTATTTTAGAGCAGTTTCAGGTGTACAGCAAAATGAGCAGAAATTACAGAGAGTTCCCATATACTCCCAACCCCCCCACACGCACAGCCTCCTAGACTTGGTGTCCCACACCAGAGGGGTACATTGGTTACAATCAGCTAACGTACGTTGACACATCATTATCCCCAAAGTTCCCCATTGGCTTTTACGTCTGCGACTCATCCTTCCTCTACCATTCAAGTAGCATGCAGGGGAACACAGTGCTTCAGAAAGTACATAACAGTCACTGGAGAGTGAGCTTAGTAGAAAACACACGTCTCGATCCTCTTGCTACATTAAGACTTCCAGAACCCATTTAAAGGGTTCAATCCTTCTTGATGCTAGAAAGACACCCTGACATGGAACCTCTGTTATATATAAAGTCCATGTGCTTCTGGAAAAAGGACTCACTCTGGTCACCACCCTCCCCTTAATGCACTGCACTGGGTGTGAAGACTTTTCTCATTAGGGTCCATAGTCTCCGGTCTTTCAGGTCTTTTCCCGCATACCCCATTGGCCAGCCATTGTTCATTACTTTGCCCTGTCCTCATGGAATGGACATTTTCCTTTATGCTATGGAATCTAACATTTAGCACAGGACTTTCATAAGGGCCAGAGACATACAAAGCACTCTGGGAAGTTTATACTATGGTTTTCATGTTTTTAGAAAGTCAATAAGGAAATATAACAAAGGAATTGTGGAGGAGGGGTAGCTTTATGTTATTTCCTACCTTAGCATTTTCCCCCTAATTCTTGTCTGCTATGGGTGAGGCATTGTGAGAGTAGTGGTGGAATAGTGTCCAGGGAGTATGGCGTGGCAGTGGGAGGTGGGGAGAGGTCTGCCCTGGAGTTGAAGAGAATTTCATCAGTGGCGTTGTTAAGCTTTGCCAGCACTTGGTGATAACAGAAAGCAGATCCGTTGAGTTGGTTTTATTAGTGTTTAAATTCTCGGTAAAGAATGCCTTCCCCTTCTTGTCTACCCCAACCCTTCCAGCACCTTCCTGAAAGCTGCTAGATAGTTGTAACCACATGAAGGATAGAATCCCTTTCATCACCGTGCTTAAGGTCTAGCCAGCCTGTCCCTTCTTCCCGAGGCCTTTATATTTCGACAATTTCCTGCAAGTGCGGTGTTTCTGTCTCTGCAAGTTTAGGTGAATAATCACAGAAAAGGAATCGCAAATATTAGCCAAGTGTCCATCTTCTTTCCCGTTATGCCAATTGGCCACAGTGATGAGTTTATATTGAGAAATAGCATTGGGGAAGACTAGGGGGAAAATCGATTTGGTTCCATCCAAGTGGATTTAGAATTTTGAAAACACATTTATAACAAAAAATAATAAGACATTTATACAGCATTTTATACATACCAGAAGCCTCGGTACTATCACCTTGGAAGTTAGCTAGTCAGGGTAAATAAAACAGCATACCTGTTCCGGTTTTGTAATAATTCAATTGTTTACTTTATGATTCATGTCTGAGCTCAATGACGTAAAAATGGATCACTTCAATATTTCTCAGGAAAATCCAGGTTAGTTTAATAAAGAATTTTGTGAATTTCTTCCTGTTTCTGCTCCTCTCTGTCTTTTTTTTTTTTTTTTTTGAAAAGTATGATTGTTGATGTCGTTTTACAAAATATATTTACTGAACACCCAGTATGTTCCTGGCATGGTCTACATCATGCTGGTTCAACCAGTTAAAATGAAATAATCTGTATGAGTAAACCTGGAATCAGAGAGGTTAAGTGACTTGTCCAATTTCCACAACAAGTTTATGATAAAACTCAATGTATCTTTTAAAACTACATTTTCATTTACTTTTATTAATTGGTTAAGATAAGAGATATTCTACAAATTAGGAGACAAATTAGAGATTAAAAAATAGAAGGGACACTCAGCAGCAAGGAAGGCAGCCACCGTGAGGCGAATACATGACAGTATCTGGTGGATGATGTATCCATCACCTCGTGTAGTCATTGACAAGACTGAACCATTAATTGTGAGAAAACAGCAGGTTCGGTGAACTGTTTTGGCCTCTCCACTCAAGTAAATCTCTGTGGCCACTTTCCTTCTTTCCTTCCTAATGTCTCAAAAGTCCTTTAAAACTCAACAGGTATTCAATAGGAAGTACGTTGAGTGAGAACTGATTTCCCTCAAATCTGAGCTCTGTTTTATGAGGGATACAAAGTAACATATGAGGGGCACAAAGTAACCGCTTATAATCCGGCAGGATGATAACCTCAAATAACATTGTTGAAAAGCAGGTGTGGGTGCGCGCGTGCACGCGTGCGTGCGTGTGCATGTGATGGTGAGGGACAGTGTATTCAATTGAATAAACCACAGTATTGCTTGAAGAGTGGCCAGGATTATGTCTGCCGTGGGCATGATCTATGTGTGTTGGATGAATTTTAGATCTGGCTGTGGTTAGCCAGATGTGTGACCTCTATAATTCCCCCCGCGCGGGCCAGGCCCGTTTCGGGAAGGAGAAGGGAGGTTATACTGATGAAGAGAAAGGGAGCATGATCGAATTGTTACGTGACTTTGTGTTACACTGAGCTCTGCGCTGCTCCAAGCTTTGGAGCATCATGACACCAGAAAGATTTGATGCAGGTTTATTGCCATCTTCGGAGCTAGGAAACATTAGCCGTGGTCAGACGGAGGGAGCGCTAGAAGATAAACTGGTCAGGAGACCAAAGAAGGCTGATCTGCTCCCGCCTGCGACCCAGGGGCAGTTAGGAAACGAGGTGTTCAGAGCGGCCTCTGGCCTCGTTTCGCTGCTGGCGTTCCAATGAAACGCTTTCTTAAAAATCGTAAGATGATGCTTTGTCATCAGTTCAATTTGTTTTTACAGTTTGTAGGCCTGTTACTATAAAGGCTTTTGGGGAAGCTGTCCCACATGCTTAAAATATCTCTATAACACTCTGAGAAAAATTGCTGGCTAATGCCACTGTCGCCGGCCAGACGCCAGAGCCGCCAGAATTAACATGGAGGCAGGCACAGAGGTTTGAGGCAGGATCCCTGAGTTTATTTGCAATCGTGGGGCAGTTTGCCAAGGTATTTTTCACAGGGAACTCTAGGATTTGCCAGCGTTAAACACAGCTGGGCTTCCTTGATCAGTTCGCACGGATGACAGCAGGGAACACGTCTAACTAAACGAAGGGACGAGTGAGCGAGAGAGAATGCCTCCAGGCTCATGTGGGGGCCAGATCCCAGGGCGTGGACTTCCTCCCGGGCCCGACGGCCACTGCTCCACCATCCTGGGGAAAATGGGCATGTGAGAGTTGTGACACTAGGCATGACCCAGTGCCCCACAGCTGCAGCAACTGGGGTCCGCTTTGGGAGCGTCTTGGGTGGCAGGCCCCCTGCCCTGCTCACCGACCCCAGAGCTGAGCTAAGCAGTGAGTGCGGCGCGTGCGCTCCCGGGCTCTTTGGTGCTTGCAGTGAACAGCTGGGGTTGGTGGACGGTCGCACACACTAAGCCTTCCAAATGCTCGTAGGGTGTTCTTACCCCCTGTAAGTACTTTCTCCTCAGAAATGGAAAGTGTGTTTTTGGAAGATGTTTCTGAAAGCCTTTGGATGTTTGAAGCTGTGTTGAAGCTTGTGTTGAACCAATAAACATTTGCTTGCATAGAATCTGCAAAATAAGAAGAATCTACGTTCATGGGTTTGTATGTCAGGCCGGTAGCGTGCCTTCCTTAGATTTGCTCACTTCTTCTTCTTCTTTTTTTTTTAAGATTTTATTTATTTATTTGACAGAGAGAGAGAGAGAGAGCACAAGGAGGGGGAGCGGCAGGCAGAGGCAGAGGCAGAAGCAGGCTTCCCGCTGAGCAGGGAGCCCGATGTGGGGCTCGATCCCAGGACCCTGGGATCATGACCTGAGCTGAAGGCAGACGCTTAACCGACTGAGCCACCCAGGCATGCCTCACTTATTCTTTACAACAACCCTATAAAGTCCATGGCATTATTATGTATGTTTTGCGGATGAGAGGAAATCAGAAAACTTAGGCCAAGAAGGGTGCCCTTGCCCAAGGTCACCCAGCAAGGAAGTGGCTGAGCCCTGATTCCAGCTCTGGCCATCTGACCCTGTGCTCTTACCTACTGTGTAGAAGAGCTTCTGTTAGCACATACTAGCATGTGCACAACCCTAAACGCAACACGAGCTGCGAAATACCGAGGCATAAACTTAACCAAAAAAAATGCGTGGTGTAACGTAAAAAGAAATTGTTCAGTTCTATGGAGGGACATAAAAGATTCTTAAAAATAGACAGAGACATACTGTACTCCTGAAAGACTCCACATTGTAATGATTAAAATTTAGAGCTGGCTCATGCTTTAGATTAGACTCCAAATGAGTTTAAATGTTGAAAAAAGAAAAAAAGTCCAGAAAAAATATAGATAAATATTATTATAACTTTAAGGTGGGGATGGGTCGAAAGCATGCCACACAAGTTAAAAACCATATCAGGAAAGCACAGATGTGCGGGTGCCAGGGTGGCTCAGTCAGTTAAGCATCCAACTCTTGATTTTGGCTCAGGTCTTGAACTCATGGTTGTGGGATGAAGCCCCTCGTGGGACTCCACACTCAGCAGGGAGTCTGCTAGAGAGTCTCTCTCTCTCTCCCGTTCCATCTCCCCCTCCCCCCGCACTCGCACACGCTCTCACTCTCTAAAATAAACAAATAAATCTTTTTTAAAAAAGCATAGATTTGAGCTACATTAAAATCTCAAAATTTCTGTACTTCAAAAAACACAATAAATAGAATGAGAAGGAAGAGGAAAACTGGGGGAAAGTATTTGCAAAATATATATATGATGAACAAAAATTATCATTCTTAATACATGAACCAATAAAAAGGTAATAGTCCCATTTTAAATATGAGTAAAAGCTATCAATAAGGAATTTAGCAAAAGAAGAAGTCAAAATTACCAACAGAGCTTAAAAAAAATGTTTACTTTTCTTAGAAATCATTAAAAAGTAAAGGTAAATATGATACTCTTTTCACCTATTGGATCAATAAAAAATGAGAATAATAATACCCAGTATTGGAAAGGATGTGGGGAAAGGAAATCTCCCTAAAGAAAGTGTGGGGAGGAAGGTAAACTGTGCAAAAATGTCTAGGGAAGGGGGTAATTTGACAATGGGCTGGTTCAAGCTTTAAAATGGCATACATTTTAACCTGGCAATTCCTCTTCTAGGTATGTTTAGGCAAAGGTAACAATTGGAAGTGTGCAAAGATCTTTTTATACTAAATAAAAACTAAAAATCAGAAATAGAGTCTACATGTTTAACCATAAGGATATAGGTTAAAAAATGGTTTTTGGTCTGGTGACCAAAAAGAACAATGGAAGTCTCCGTAGCCACTAAAAAGATATGGTATATTTATTAGCAAGGAATGATGTCTGTATGTGAAGGAAGGTGAGAAAAGCAGATTACAGCACGAAATGCATAATATGATCCCATCTTTGTACAAAAAAATGTATATCATCATCAAAAGAAGGAAGTTTGGAAGAGTACACACCAAGATGTTAACTGTGGTAAGATTGTTAGTATTTTTGTTTTGCTTATTTGTATTTATTTTTTCAACAAAGACTACGGATTGGTTTTACAATACTTCAAAAAATCACTCCTATTAGGACAGCTGGACGCAGATCGGTGCTGTAGACAAAAGAGGGCTTGCGCCCATAGCTATCCAGCTTTGCGTTACACTCGGCTTAGGGTGGCTGAAATTTCCAGGTAAGGCCGCAGAAGGAAAGAGACTTATGTGCTATAGAGATGAACTCCTAGATCTTAGAAATAATATCCTGCTACCCACCCAATTTCCAGGAAATGGAAACTCCTTGCCCAGTTTAAGAGTAGTTCAGGGCCACTGAAGTGAAGGGGTGGTTATGTCTGCTCTTCGGCGAAAAAATGTCTTAATTTTCCTTCCATCAGCTTTCCATTTCAAGTAAGTTTTGCCACGGAAGTTGTCTTTTATTCACAACTGTCTGCCTCCTCCTTTCTCATCGATGGCCCGTCCTTAATCACAGCTTCTTCCCTCGCCTTCACAACACAAACACAAACACATAACCGTACACACAATGTCTCCCCTCTCCTTCCATGGATAGATCTATATATCTATCAGATTGCTTCAGTCTTTTTGGAAACACATGCTGTTTCCCTGAGCAGGAGAGCTCTGAAATAGGAGTCAGAAGAATCTAGTCGGTTGCAGACTGTCCATGCCTGTGAGCGAAGGAGATCCGAGGTTCTGTTGGCTATTATCATTCAGGCCCTTTCTTGGAGACAAAGGTCACTTCAAGTAGGGGTATTCTGGAATTTGAGCGATGGGGCACAAGACTGAAAAAAGAAGGGGAGGAAAGGTAGAGTGGCCCGCTTCCCGGGAGACGTGGGGGGGGGGGGGGGGGCATGGCCTCACTGGGGAAAAGCTGCAGAGCCAGATAGGTGGCCAAGATAGTCAAGGTAGAAACAAAAGCACAAATTAGCCAGCCAGCACAGTCATGTCCGAATACCATGGCCATAATTTATGTCTCCTCACACCCCAGGATGCCTAATGATTGAATTCTAAATGACACCAAGAAGGCACCTCCAGATCCTTTGTGGATATGAGCAAAATGGGCTTTTGAAAACACGCCAGGACCACAAACTCCTGAGAACAAAACAAGACAATTTTTTTAAAAAGAAAAAAAAAAAAGCAATTTGGCATCGATTCATAGAGAATGGGATTAGATTTATTTAAAGAGGGGAACCCCCAACTCCATCTGGTTCTCTCCACATCAGCACTAGGGAGGGATATTAGAGCAAGAGCTTGGGATTATTTCTCGGCTCTCATGGATTTCCTCCTCAGGGATGAAATATAAATTCCAAACCAACCTTTGTTTCAGAAATCACAAGCTGGACACCCTGGGCTTCCTGATTGTTTACGTTTTCTTGAGTCACCTCCATAGTGGAGTGACCCGCTCTCAGGAGCTCCTTGGAAATATACAATTGTTCTGTTTTCTGCAGTGACAATGAATCCTGAAACTGAATGGTGCTAATGTTTTCCAAGAGAAGCAGCCCCGGAGGGAGCCCGCCGAGCCTGCCAACAGAGGGTGAAGAGGATGCGAATTTAATTAATTTCAAATCGACGTAGACACGAGAACCTTTTGCTGTTTCTTCCAACGCCCACTCTTCCTAATGATGGCATCACCTGTCCTTGGAAGAATGCACGATTGAGAAGCACTGGGAAGAGGCTTGGCTGCCGTCCAGGGTGGCCTCTGAGGAAAGGAGGAGCCACGTGGTCTTCACCTCTCATCAGGGCCACTTCCCTCCTCTGGGCCAGCCTTCACGCTGCCTGTATTCATTCTGGCCAGCTCTCTCGGTCTTTGTTATCTTTCTGCTTCGTTCCTTGGAGTTTAAATCAGGAAGCTGTTTCATATATGGCTTCCTTCTGGGTCACCTTATTACCTAATTAGCTCTGGATAATTTCCTCTGATTAGTCAAGTCCTCTGATAGGTCATCTGCGTTCGGCAGGAACTTTCCTCCAGGCGAGTTACATCATGGAAAAGACAGAAAACAAAGCGAGTGTTTCACTGTACACATCATCCCAGGGGCTCGGTAAGCTCATCTACCTGCCCAGAAGGTGTACTGAGAGAGTCCACCGTCCAAAGGAGATGCTGTTTGGTGCCTTGTGGACTCTGAGCTGACCAGACCCCTTGGGACCTTCTCAGAGGAACAGGAATCTTCAGTGAGAGAGCAAAGTGATTTCCTTCTCAGCTAAAATCACCTGCTTGTTCACGTTTCCCAAAGCGCATTCTTGCTCTCACCACACCTCCCTTGCCCGTGGTATGTGAATAGGACACGTGCACAGGGGGATCGGCTGTCAGCCTTCTATGTTTCTGAGATCTTTACGGTCATTTGAAACAAACAGAATAGGAATAGGAAACACCTGCGTGTGTGGCTGATTTCACTCAGTGCACTTTCCGGTCAAGCTGGGACAAGCCCCGCATCCTTCTCGATGCAGCTGTCCAGGAGGCCACTATCAGTCCATCAGAGAGGACATTCTCCACCGTCTTTGGTGACACCCTTTACAAGAAGCAATGGTGCAGAGGGCAGAAGGGCCTGCTTTCATTCCCATTCACGTACAATCAATCCTCATTTCATCCTGAATTTTCTACTCCTGACCTTTAAAGCAGTCTAGCACACTGGGAGTCCTCAGGTCTTCTACAACAGCTATTTTATTCCAGGAAAGAAGTAAAGAATGAAAACTTTATTTATTTTCCTCTCTACATATAAACTGAGGAGAGATGAGGTTCACCAAACATTTGATGCTGATTTTGGGGTCTTGAAAGTCTGCCTTAATGTGTAACAAAAACTGCCCCTCTCCTCCCTTTTGGATCCTTCTGGCATACACGCCTTCTGAACTGTGCCCATAGTTTTAAAGGCAGAGTTCCAAAGCCAGGGAGATCTTTCCACACAATGAAAGAAAACTATCTGGTTGTGTTTAACCACTGCTATTCTGCTATCCTGAGACTTCACAGAGCTTTGGTAAAAGAGTCTTCGTGGTATATAATTTCAACAGATTTGTCTGTCATAGTCTCCTTAGCACATCCTAATATGGCATTTTTGAAGAACTTCTGTTCTGCACATTCATATTCCACTGTGGTCCACAATGACTCCCAGATATTTATGCCAAAATTGCCATTTTTCTGAATCATCGTTTCTGCCTATTTTGTTGCTTTGTTTCTTCTCAACATTTTGGCTCTCAGAAGAGTCTCAGATTGCTTCTTTCTCTCTCCAGGTATCCAAGATTTTTGGTGAACACGGAGGCTTGTAAATTTTATCCAAGACTATCACATACTGTGACTTTAGAAGTTTAGAGATCCAGAAGGGGTCTTGGAATCTCATGTTGATGAAACAATATTTTATGATATGATAAAAATATTCTCATTCGGTATTTAAAATCATGTCAAATTCCAGAAGAAGCAAGTTTCAGCAGCATGTCATTCAATTTATGTCTGAAAAATGTACCAACCTCTATAACTGCACAGTATAGAAACCATTTTTTTAAAGGTAGTTTTTTCTGGCAAGATGTATGAACCAAAGCAGTGAAGGGTCAATCCTAGCACCCTATATCTTGTGTTACTGTTCAATCAATAGGTATCATATATTTATGATAATTTTAAGACTTGCTTTTAAACTCAAAGTTAATTTTATGTTTCAGATTATTGTTTGTAAACATCTAACAAATTTTCTCTTAATTGGCTAGCCAATCAGAACAAAATCTGACTTCAGAATATTTTAAAGATATGTTAAGTGTCACTGCATGTTTTGGACATTTTAAGCAAACCAGGTTAACAATATTGTCGAGCCAAACTTCTCAGGAAACTTGTTTTAATAAATATGTAAGAATATCAACCTGTTACCCTTAACTCAGTAATGTGACGACTCTTTCTGGGGAGCTCACTGGTATCCAAACACAGGAGTACAGAATGGATCAAACTTCATATCCATGGTGGGTGGGTGGGGGGAGGGCGGAGGCAAATGCCTCTAGCAATGTAAATGGATGCTTTAAAAATGCTTTTGTCTATTTTTTTTAATTTTGGTTGTTTAAAATATCAATTTGCACCATCTCTGGAAGGAGGCCCCTCTCATGAGTAAACAGAAAATATAGACTTTAGTTTCAATTTCTGTCAGAATTCATACAAATTCTGAACGTCCTGGAGTGATAAGGCACAGTTACATACTAGGAAGACACGGCTGAAATTCCCATTGTGGGGAAAACATTGAAACTTTATGCTAAATTAAATTTACACATGCTATGTTTTTACACTCAGAAGATACTCAGGATGAATCCTGGGGTTCCATTTAATAGGTACGACAGGAAGGCCAGAGTAGTTTCACTCATGGATTATGTTTCTCCAATCTTAAAGTAACCAGGAGAGTCACTATATAGTAGTGTGGACTGGAATTTGTCAAAGTGTTTATTAATTATTATAATCCAAACAATGAATTGCCTAAATTTGTTTGTTTGTCTAAGCAGCTCTTTGGTATTACCTTGGAACTCTCCCATCTGATACCAAAATTTTATTTTCCTCCCAGTCCTTTTGGGGGGTGGCTATTTTTAGATACACAGTAGGTTTTTTTGGTTTCTTTTGGGTTTTGCCCTATTACCTTTTCTAAAAAACATGTCATATTCACAGAATAGTGATCCATACAGTTATATAAAATAAATTTTTTTTAAATCGATGCTATAGATAATCTAAGCTCTTTTTGAAATATTTTAAGAAGTTAAATTCCTAAACCAAAGTACATCCAGGAATATGAAGACTTTAATTTCAGTGCTGTACAAGTTGAGAAATTCAGCACTGAACTGTTTAAGACAACCAAAGGTGAGTGGATTCTCTTCAATTGGACTTCAGGCGTGGAGGGCTCAGGTAATCATGTTCCTCACTTCCCATCACAGCATCATCTCTGGCCTTTGGTATTTTATAAATAAGTAATTGGACCTTTTCCAAAAAGCATATTCTTCACATTTTTCACTTCTTTGGTCTGCATGGCAAGAATTAAGTAAATGACACATAGAAACTACAAATAGTGAGCAACATTTTTTTCAGTGTAATTATCAGTGGTGAGTAATCACCATATTACTCTGACTTAGGTGAAACCCCTGAAATTATAAATAACATCAAGAACTTAGGGAAATCCTGTGTGTTTAATAAATGTCAGCTTTCAGAAAGAGTGGATAATGTGGTTTGCCAACAAGTTAAAAAATAACCTGGTAGGTCGTTAGTAATTTAGCATGTATGCATCTTGTTTTTAAAGTTAAGTGAAAATAATGTAAAAAACTACTTTATTAGATGCTCTCATTTTTCAAGCAGTATCAAGTATTTCCTCAGAAATACCTTCCTCAGAAGGTCAGTAAGATCATCAGATGTTGTATTTACCACTTGGCTTCAATGTAGAAATTCTACCTGGGAAGCCTCATGTGAGAAACGGCCCCGTCACTACTGATTAAGAACCAATTTGCAGGGCGCCTGGGTGGCTCAGTTGGTTAAGCGACTGCCTT